AAATTAATATAAACTTACTGAAATAAATTTATAAAAAATATCTTCACAAACCTTAAACATACCGATTAAATTAAGAACCCAAGTTTTTGAAATCCCACCTCTATTTTCGCACAATGAAGTAATTAAAATTCATATAAACTGCTTCTTGAGGAATATATTATAACCTTTATTAATTCGTTTACAAAAAAAAAATTTCACAAAAAACAAGGTTATAATTGAAAAAAAAAATACTTAAGATTTTTCTAACAAATCTTAATTCAAGTACATAGTATGACGATTAAGATCTTGCCAAGTTCGTGGATTTGTAATTCTTCTATTATACCTTTCTATATCCTCTACCATTTTAAAAATACCGTCCAAACTTGGCCTAATTGCTTTTCCCCATTCAAATTTTTTTGCTTCATGTTCTTGCCTTATAATTGCTAATGCTTGTTCTAAAATATTTTCATATTCGTAAAACATATTATGCATTTCTTTTTCATTGTTATCAGAAATTTGAAAGGTTGATTGCTTTTTTAATAATATAATATAAGAATAATAATAAATTTAAGACAAACATATTATATACTAGTATTAAAGTTGGGTGTTAAAACCCTAAACTACAAGTTTAGATTAGATGCTTAAACTCTAAAATAAACTAAGCTCTAATCTAAATTTGTAATTTAGAGTTTTGTACCCAACTTTAATTATACGGCATATATTTTGCAAATACTATTTGATAATCTTTGATCAAAAGTATCCAATGTAATTTCACTTAATTCGTTTGATAATCTTCGGTTAAAGGAATTTGAAGTGAGATCTAATATAATTTATTTGATATTGGTTAATTAGTTATCAGAGCTTTTTTAAATATATATACTAAAGTTGACTTTTTCTATACCGAACCTTTGGTTTTGGTCAAAGGAAGTTCGCCATATCCAGAGTTGACTCTACATATTAAGGTGACATTTATACAATATTATATGCATATCTGATCTATATATATACGTATAATATTGCATAAATGTCTATCTCAAATTATATATACTAAATACCTTTTGATAATCTTTGATCAAAAGAAGTTAGAGAAGCGTCTAGTATAATTTCATTTGATTTCTTATTCATGAAATTTAAAGAGACATCTGACGTAATTTCATTCAAAATTTCTTGACTTGTAGCTTCGTTCAATATTTCTTGACTTGAGATATTTAATATTGGTTAAGTTTTCTTTATATAATTTGCATAAGGCTTTTTCAAAGACTCGGAAAAAATTAAAAAAGGATATATTCCTTGTCTTTGAACCTTAAAAAAAAATTCTTGACTAACTAAACCATTATGCTTAAAATACTTCTGAATTAAGTGTTTACAAATAAAGAAACGGCTTAACAAAAAGCCACGGCAATTACAAAGCCAATAAGAAATATCAACCAAATATTTATTTGGATCACTTATTTCAGAGTTTGCTAATAATTTCCATTCACTTTTAAATTCTTTTCGCCAAGAGGGATATTCCCAACCTATTAAGTATTTTTGATATTGTGACTGTTGATGAGGAATAAGTCGTTTAATAATGATATAGGTTAAAAAATCCAATCTAGGGCGAAAAAATTTAGTAATAAAATCTCTTTTCAGCACTTTCCAGTGTGACTCAAC